TGAAAGTGAGAAAAGGGATTGTCATTGGTCAGGAGTTATGGCAAGTGCTGCTGCAAGAATAGCGGTATTGTGTGCATGAGTACATCAACTTCTTACTATAGAAATGATTGGACCAATTGTTTTACTATAGGAAATGAGTACGCCATTTATTTTACTAAAGAATTACAGAGAAAATGATTTTTACAGGAGAAGTGCATTCAAAATCTCGAAGAAAGATTTACGATGGTCATAAATCAAAACAATTTATTCAGGAATTACTTATGGAATCCAATAATTATCTGTATAATTTATGTTTTATAAATAATTTTACGATAAAAATATATTAAAAATCAGGATGAAAGGATTGGCATTAATAAGAAATGAATTTGTGTTATTCTCTCTCTCTCTCTCTCTCTCTCTCTTTCTCTCTCTCTCTCTCTCTCTCTCTTTTCTCTCTCTATATATATATAAAATCTATTATATATATATATAATATATATATATATATATATATATATATATATATATATATATATATATATTATAGTAAAAAAGAACATTAAGATATGTAATCCGGTTTTCTTATTGATATTTTTTATTTTTACAAAACAGCAGTGCTCAATGTAAATTTACAGAGCATAAATATTATAAATTAACGGATTTAACCATATTAACTATTAAATATTATAAATTAGCTGATTTAACCGTATAAATTTAAATCAGTTCATTTATAATATATATATATATATATATATATATATATATATATATATATATATATATATATAAGTAAAACATCATAACTTATATACACTGGAGATTTTGAAACAAAATGGCTATTTTGTAGTGATTTTATAACATATTTATGTTATAATTTTTAAATAAATAATTATTTATATATATATATATATATACTTAATGGGCCGGTTAATGAAATTTAAGGAATAAAAAGACAAAATAATAACAATAGTATCAATAATATTACTGATATTTATTACAGCCCTTTGAAGCACAAAAAGAAAAATTTTAAAGTCGGAATTTTCGAACATGCCTGTGTCCTTTTTCAAGGAAACGAGGAATATACAGAGTAGTGGGACTTACTCTTTCGAGGAATGCTGGTGTGTTGTTGGTTAGAGGACTTTCTGTGGAAACTATATTCCCTGAGTAAAACCAAACCCCTGTTTAATCCTTTAATGCGTGACTTTTTTGTAATATATATATATATATGTGGGGGTGTATTCTAAAAGACCTATGAAAATATTTTGATATTTATTTGCAGCAAAATAAACTTGGTCTTACGTGTTCTAGCCTGTATAAACTGGAAATGTTTCGAGATAACTAGTTAAAGTTTGCACCAAACAGCACTCTTTAGAGCAGCGTGAATCCTGTCACAATTAAAGCAAGGACTGGCTTCAATGGAACATGTTTTGATGACCGAGGACATTATAAGTTTATGGAGATATTTCCTCGAAAATAATCAACAATGTACAAATGGGTAATTCGTTTCAAACACGAACGAGATGAAATTGAAGATGACTAACGGATTGGCGGCCCCTTAACATCAGTTTTGTGAGGAAAAAATCGATAATGTTCGAGATTTAATTTTGGGCAACCGACTATTAACAGCAGAAATAATAGCTAATACTCTAGACATCTCAGTTGGCTCAACCCACACAATTTTATCTGAAAAAGTTTAGCTTACAGTAAATGTTGCGCACCGAGCATCCATAGACACGCGCAGAGGTTTCAATGGACGAATTATAACTAGATATGAAGCATGGCTTTACCAATACGATTCTGAAGACTGCATTCAAAGCAAGTATTACCTAAAGGTGGAAATGGTCTACTCAAAGCAAAAGCTAGTCGGTCTGGAGCAAAGGTTATGGCGACAGTTTTATGGGATGTTAGGGCATTTTTCATGTTGACATTTAGATAGGAAAAAGGTCTGTAAAAAGTATGCTTATGACCAAAAATGTTTTGTGAAAATTAGCTAAAACTTCAGACAAAAAGCGTTGCAGAAAGCTTCATAAGAATATTATTTTCCAGCACGACAATGTCTCCGCTTATTGCTCTCATGAGACAAGGCGTCATTAAAAAAAATTCAATGGAAAATCATTAGACAGCCATCTTGCAATCCTGATTTAGCAGTTTTCGAAATTTTCTTTTTTCCTAAACTTAAAAACATGTTGTAAGGCATCCATTTTTGAGACCAGTAATGATGTAAAAAATCCTTGTCTTGACGTGTTAAATCTTCAAGACACTCAATGCTTTTAGGTTTGTGTAAATGGCCGGCATCATCGCTTGTAGACGTGCATAGATGTTGATGGAGCCCGTGAGGAGAAATAAAATTTATACTTAAGAATATTTGTTTTTAATTCCATTTTGCCACGAACGTTTTGAATGCGTCTTGTTTTCCTTAAGTCATATCCACCGTTAATCTCCATTCTTCCAGATTTTTAAAGTGTATATGCTACAGAACTAATCGAAAAAATTAAATATAAACAAATTATCGGCAAGCATGCTAATATTCTATTCTGTTAAGCTTACAGAATGTATACATCAAACCTGTTTCAAGATACATTTACACGAGCGAACATGTCACCCCTCTAATTAAATTAATGATATATCTTTTCTAAAATGTGGATTTTTCTAGCTACGGCTAATAAGGATCTGACTTCCTGTCCCTTTTCCTATCTTAATTCCGTTTTTCTCATTTGTTACAATTTATAAGAGAAATAAAAATGCTATGTGAATAAAATTAAACATGATTAAAATTGCGGATTTAGAGTTAAAGGAATTATCAGAAAAATTCTTAGTAAAAATATTATATGATACTCAATAATCATGTTAATTATTAGGAATAGTAATGTAGTAATTATTTTATTTAATGCCATATCCGTTTAGGACATAGGTGATCATTACTCTCCACTCGTGAAAGATAGTGGAGTGATTTCCTTTTATCATCTCCACGATTTGGAATTCAGGATTTTCCTTCTCTTAGAGTGGATACCATCCAAGGCTAATGACATATTCATGCTATTCCTAAGAGTAAAGTGAATGCAGCAGATTAGTCTAGAATTTGAACTCGGAAGCAATAATTATAATGAAACTTTTTGTTGTGAGGGAGAATATTACCTTACAAGTTTAGACTCGGCCGTCGGACGAAAGATATAAAAATATTCCTACATCAAGAAGAGTAACAGTAGAAGCAGTAACAGCAGTAGCATTTGATGAAAACAATTAGTCATTCACGGCTTCTCTAGCTTGGTGACGAGAATGAGATTCCCAAACTGTTCTGAGTTACCAAAACAACAGTAGAAAACAGGAATTTTATTATCGTTTGGTACAGGGAAACATAATGTCGAATAGAAACCAGGGAAGAGGATGTTTAGCTGTGAATGACAGTTTTCAAAAAAGGCTACTGCTGCTACTGCTCCTCCTGCTACTCCTCTTGATGTAGGTGTAGTTTTATGTCTTTCGTCCGACGGCCGAGTCCAAACTTGTAGAGAAATATTCTCCGGACTTTCTTTTCAACGGACTGGCCAAATCAGTTCAACCAAACACAATCTAATATTACCAGTTATATATTTTGTTTCCAATATCGATGGGAGTTGGGAAATGCAAAGTCGGTCTTGGCCTTCCCGCTAACTTGGAGCATGTGCATGTAAATTTTGGTGCAAATCCTTCGAAAATCGCGGCCGAGCATTCGTTACACACACACACACACACACACACACACACACACACACACACACACACACATCCTACCTTTTATAGATAGAGATAAACGAATTTTAAAGGTTGTAACAATTTTGCAAGTTTTCACCAACTTATCAATAATAATATCAATTCTTATAATTTATGTTGGTTATTTTTTTTTATTATGGTATATCTTAAGTTTATGGAACATATTAGTTAATATGGCATTTGTTAGTTAATTTCTTTGTTATGGCATATGTAAGGTTATTATGTAAAAGGAGGCACGGTGGAGTAATGGATAGCGGCTTGGAGAGCCGAGTTCGAATTCCTGTCGAATCCATTACATTCACTTACGTGCTAATACTCTTGGGAAAGGTGTGAATCCTCTTTCTTCTCCCTCCAGCTATGGGTAAATAGCAGGACAGACTGGGTTCTATAGCCTTGGATAGCAACTGGTCTAGGAGAAGGAAAACTCTGAATTCAAACCTGCTCTTAGAGGAGGGTGAATGGAGTCTCTCTGAGCCTTGGTTGGCAATCCATTTAGTGATGGTGTCACGATAAAAACACCCTTGATAGCCCTAGCGAAGCATCAAGAATTCAGCTATTTGACAAGATTATGAACTACACCAATCAAAGTATTAGTGAGTTCAATCTCGGCTGAGGTGAGATGATGAAGATTATTTCTTTTTATTATTGCATATAGTGTGTTATTACTTCACACTATGGTACATGTTAGGTTATTTCTTTTCCTTATGTTGTATGCTACGCTATTACTTTATATTATGGCATGAAATGTTATTACTTTACATTATGATACATGTTACTTCTACTTTATGACACATGCTACATTATTACTTTACATTATGGTATATGATATTTCTTTTCATTATGTCATATGTTAGGTCATTTCTATATATTATGTCATATGTTAAGATATTTCTTTACATTATGGCATGTGTTATTTCTTTTCATTATGGCATACGTTGAATTATTTCTTTAAATTATGTCATATGTTATGCCTTTATTATGGCATGTGTTAGGTTATTTCTTTACATTATATCATATGTTAGGTTATTTCTTTTCATTATGACACAGGTTATTTCTTTCCATTATGACATATGTTAGGAGCACTAATATATTCCTAAAAAGAGATGATAGAAAAACAAGACACGGTTTAGTCAATGAAAACTGAAAAAATATACAATGAATATTAATAAATAAGAAGTTTAAAAAAAAACATGTTCATGTGTTTAAGGATCTCATACTATATATTTCTGTTATGTTTGTCATTACGATTAAACTTTCGTCAGTTTGTAAATATTTTAATAAATTAATTCAAAAAAATTTAAAAACACAATGAGTGAAAGAAAAAAATAAATGTGAATGAAAAATAAAATAAAAGTTAAAAGAAAAAAAGAAAGAAAATTATTAAAAGAGGGTGAAAGACTAGAAGAAGAAAGAAAAAAAGAAAGAAAATTATTAAAAGAGGGTGAAAGACTAGAAGAAGAAAGAAAAAAAGAAAGAAAATTATTAAAAGAGGGTGAAAGACTAGAAGAAGAAAGAAAAAAAAAAAGAAAATTATTAAAAGAGGGTGAAAGACTAGAAGAAGAAAAAAAAAAAAAAAAAATTATTAAAGAGGTGAAAGACTAGAAGAAGAAAAAAAAAGAAAATTTCGAATTAAAAAAAGGGTGAAAGACTAGAAGAAGAAAAAAAAAAAGAAAAAAAAAATTCAAAATTAAAAAAAAAGGTTCAAAGACTAGAAGAAAAAAAAGAAAAAAAAAGATTCTTATATAAAGAAATATCTGAAAGACTAGAAGAAGAAAGAAAAAATTCAGAAAATTATAAAAACCCTCTAAATGAAAAAAACTTTAGAAAGAAAAAAAAAAAAAAAATTTTTAAAAATTATGGTAAAAGACTAGAAGAAGAAAGAAAAAAGAAAGAAAATTATTAAAAGAGGGAAAAGACTAGAAGAAGAAATAAAAAAAAAAATTTTAAAAAAAAGAGGGTGAAAGACTAGAAGAAGAAAAAAAAGAAAATTTAATAAAAAAAGGGGTTCAAGACTAGAAGAAGAAAGAAAAAATTAAAAAAAAATTATTAAAAGGGTGAAAGACTAGAAGAAGAAAACAAAAAAGAAAAGAAAATTATTAAAAATGGTGAAAGACTAGAAGAATTTTAAAAAAAAATCAAAAATTATTAAAAGGGTGAAAAGACTAGAAGAAGAAAAGAAAAAAAAAAAGAAAAAAATTATTAAAAGAGGGGGAAAACTACTTGACTAGAAGAAGAAAAAAAAAAAGAAAGAAAATTATTAAAAAAAAAAAAAGAAAACTAATTTTGAAAATAAAAAAAAAAAAATTAATTATTAAAAAGAAAATTGAAAGACTAGAAGAAGAAAGAAAAAAAGAAAAAAATTATTAAAAGAATGAAAACTAGAAGAAGAAAAAATTTTGAAAAAGAAAGAAAATTATTAAAAAAATGGGTGAAAAGACTAGAAGAAAAAAAAAAAAAAGAAATTATTAAAAAAAGGGTAAAATACTAGAAGAAAGAAAAAGAAAAAAAATTAAAAAAAAAAAAGACTAGAAAAAAAGAAAAAAAAAGAAAATTATTAAAATTTTAAAAAGAAAAAAAAAAAAAAAAAAAAAAGAAAATTATTAAAAAGAGGGTGAAAACTAGAAGAAAAAAAAAAAGGAAGAAAAATATTATATATATATTTAAAGACTTATGAAAAAATAAAAAAAAGAAATAAAAATTAAAAAAGAATTTAAAAGACTAGAAGAAGAAAAAAAAAAAAAAGAAAAAAAATTATTAAAGGGGTGAAAGACTAGAAGAAGAAAAATAAAAAAATTTCTTTAATTATTAAAAATAGGTGAAAGACTGGAAGAAGAAAGAAAAAGAAAGAAAATTATTAAAGAGGGTTATTGACTAGAAGAAATTCTGAAAAAAAAGAAAATTATTAAAAGAGGGTGAAAGACTAGAAGAACAAAAAAAAGAAAATTATTAAAAGAGGAAAGACTTTAAGAAGAAAGAAAAAAAAAAAAAAATGGGGTCTTTTAAAAAATAAAAAAACCCCTTAAAGAAAAAGACGAAAAAAAAAGGAAAATCCGGAAAAGAAAAAGAAAAGAAAATTATTAAAAAAGGGAAAGACTAATATTTTGAAAGAAAAAAAAAAGAAAATTATTAAAAAAGAGATCTAACTAGATACAAAAAAAAAGAAAGAAAAAATTTCTTTTATGATTATCAAAAAAAGAAAAAAAATTAAAAAAAAAAAAAAAAATATTAAAAAATTAAACCTATATAAATATTAAGATTCAAAATTATTTTAAAAAAAAGAAAAAAAAATTTTTGAAAAAAGGGAAAAAATTTCAAGAAAAAAAAAAAAAATGAAAATTGAGAAAAAATAAAAATATTGAAAAAAGAAAAAAAAAAAGAAAAAAACGAAAAAAAATTTTTATTAAAAGACAAACAAAATAGAAAAAAAAAAAAAACAAATCAAGAAAAATCAAAAAAAAAATTCGAAAAAAAAACAAGGAACTGAAAGAAAAAAAACAAATCAAGAAAATCAGAAAAAATTCTTTTAACAAACAAGAACTGAAAATTTTTAAAAAATTTAAATCCTTCAACAATTAAAAAAAAAAAAAAAAAAAAAAATCAAGAAAAGAAACAAAAGACAAACAAGGAACTGAAAGAAAAAAAAACAAATATAAAAATCATAAATTCGAAAAAACAAACAAAATAAAAAAAAAAAAAAATTTTCATCAGAAAACAATTCGAAAGACAAACAAACTGAAAAAAAAAAAATTAAATCAAGAAAATCATAAAAATTCAAAGAATCACAAATTCTGAAAATTTTTTAAAAAAAACAAAAACAATTCGAAAGACAAACAAGGAACTGAAAAAAAAAAAACAAATCAAGAAAATTTTTAAAACAATTCGAAAGACAAACAAGGAACTGAAAGAAAAAAAAAACAAATCAATTAATCAGAAAAACAATTCGAAAGACAAACAAGGAACTGAAAGAAAAAAAAAAATCAAGAAAATCAGAAAAAAATTGAAAGACAAACAAGGAACTGAAAAAAAAAAAAAATCAAGAAAACAATTTTTTTAAGGAATTGAAAAGAAAAAAACAAATCAAGAAAATGAAAGAATTCAAAAAAAACAAAAAAAAGTTTAAAAAACAAATCAAGAAAATTTTAAAAACAATTCAAACAAAACAAAACTGAAAGAAAAAAAAATAAATCAAATAAAATTATAAAACAATTCGAAAGACAAACAAGGAACTGAAATTTTATAAAAAAATCAAGAAAATCAGAAAATTTCATTTTCCAAGGAATGAAAAAAAAAAAACAAATCAAGAAAATCAACTGAACAATTCGAAAGACAAACAAGGAACTGAAAGAAAAAAACAAATCAAGAAAATCAATCAATAAAATCTTATTCGAAAGACAAACAAAATTTTCAAAAATCAAGAAAATCATTTTTCTCATTCGAAAACAAACAAGGAACTGAAAGAAAAAAAACAAATCAAGAAAAATCAGAAAACAATTCGAAAAACAAACAAGGAACTTTTCTTTAAAAAAACAAATCAAGAAAATCAAAAAATCGAAAAATTCGCAAGGAACTGAAAAGAAAAAACAAAATCAAGAAAATCATTAATTCGAAAGACAAACAAATACTGAAATCAAAAAAAATCAAGAAAATCAACTGTAACAATTCGAAAGACAAACAAGGAACTGAAAGAAAAAAAAAACAAATCAAGAAAATCAGAAAACAATTCGAAAGACAAACAAGGAACTGAAAGAAAAAAAAACAAATCAAGAAAATCAGAAAACAATTCGAAAGACAAACAAGGAACTGAAAGAAAAAAAAACAAATCAAGAAAATCAGAAAACAATTCGAAAGACAAACAAGGAACTGAAAGAAAAAAAAACAAATCAAGAAAATCAGAAAACAATTCGAAAGATAAACAAGGAACTGAAAAAAAAAAAAAAATCAAGAAAATCAGAAAACAATTCGAAAGACAAACAAGGAACTGAAAGATGAAAAAAATTTCAAATTGAAAATCAGGAAAATTCGATTAAAAATTAAAAGAAATGAAAGAAAAAAAAACAAATCAAGAAAATCAAAAACAAAATCGATTTTAAACAAAAAGAAAAAAGAAAAAAAAAACAAATCAAGAAAATCAAAAACAATTCTTGAAAAAAAAACAAAACTTTTTTTTTAAAAACAAAAAAATCAGAAACAATTTCAAAGACAAACAAATCCTGAAAGAAATAACAATTTATCAAGAAAATCAGAAAACAATTCGAAACAAAAACAGGAACTGAAAAGAAAAAAACAAATCAAGAAAAAAAATTCGAAAACAATTCTGAAAAAATATTAAACAAGGAACTGAAACAAAAAAAAAAACAAACTTAAAATCAAAAAAACAAATTCGAAAAAAAAAACAAAAAACAAATTCTGAAAAAAAAAATCAAATCAAAAAATCAGAAAACAATTTTCAAGACAAACAAGGAACTGAAAGAAAAAAAACAAATCAAGAAAATCAGAAAACAATTCGAAAGACAAACAAGGAACTGAAAGAAAAAAAAACAAATCAAGAAAATCAGAAAACAATTCGAAAGACAAACAAGGAACTGAAAGAAAAAAAAAAATCAATGAAAATCCTTGAGTAAAACAATTCAAATTTAACAAGGAAAAAGTGAAAAAAACTAATTGAAAATTGTATAAAAGAAAAGATCAACTTTAGATGGAGAAAAAAAAAAAGAATCTCAAGAAAGAAAAACAAGTTTAATACAAATTTAAGAAAATTAAAACAATAAAGAAAGAAAGAATTGGCGATAAAACCTTCATCTTCCCGCGAGAACAAAATAACAGGTCAAGTGATTTGAAATCAAAGTGAATTGGAGACATAAATTGATTCAATGTTTTTTTTTTTTTTTTTTGGAAAAAGAATTTCACACGCGTAACAAATCATTATGGAAAGCTTTGATCAGCGAATATCACGAAGTTAGCAAAGTTACCATTCCGATTTATGTAAGAATGATTCACTCACTGTAATTCCATCTGATTTTTAAAGTATTTCGATAGCAAGACTATCAACATACATAATATAACACTATTCTGTCATTAACACTCCCATTAATTCCTAGTCACTGTCAATCCCTTTCAATCTGATTTTGAAGACATTCGTAAAATTATCAGCAATGCATTTACATGATATATCACAATTCTGTCAGTGTTACGAGGATGCATTTTTATAATAAGGGATTCCACTGACTTCTACTTGTTATTACAAAAAAGTTTTCATTCATGAAGTAGTTATAAAATAGAGAAATTAGAAATAGAATGTTTGGAAGATTCTAGATCATTCAAGTATATTCAAGAAAAATCTAGATGATTCGAGAAACATTTAGAAATATGCAAATTAGGTGTTAGCCCCTATAAAAATGGGATTTTGGAAAAGGGTCGTTAGTTGATTAATGAGAATTTCTGCCGTTATCAACTCCGGCTTTTGATTCAAGGACTATTATATCCAGCCGAAAGAATCTCTATAAAAAGTTGCCGACCAACCAAAACCCAAAAAGAGAATTTCATGGAACAAATTTGGTAAATAGAATTTTGACTAATTTTCATTGACCAAACTAAAAATTAATATTTATTTACACACCTTTGTGGATTCCCAAATATAGCACTTAGATTACTTCACTGGCCCTAAAGTGATAAAGATATTTGATTCCTTTTCCTTCTCCCTCGTAACACTTCACCAGTAACTCTGTGTTTTCTGTTTTGTAGGCCACAATTGTTTATCTTGTATATATTTTATGTTCTGTTTTATTAAATTAAATATTTGTTTGTGATTTAGCTCTGTGTTGTGGTAAATCATTTTTTTCCTTTGTTACAATTATCAACACGTAACAGTCAGTAACACATATTAAATCCTAACCACTGATAACACTGGTCAACAAAAAAAAAAATTTGAAATGGTGTCGAGACACCAAACATCTTTTAGTTAATTTGAAGTGGCTGAATCTGAAAATGACCTTACATTTTATTGGTTAGCTATCGTTTTTGCAGTACAAAAATGCCTCATTTTTGGAAAAAAACATTTTTTTCATTTGTTTTCTGTCTATAGAATATTTACCGATGACAATATGTCTCAAAATAAAATCATAGAAAACTCCCAATTCGTATTTAAACCAACAAATATTGGTCTGAGAGAAATACTATTTTTGCGATAAAAATCAGACAAAAATAACGTAAATAAAATTTTTAAAAATAACACGATTGAATATACCAAGACCAACAAGTATTTTCATCAAATCATTTAATAGCAAAAATAAAATTTACGTGAACATAAGAACTATGGTAAAAATTTTCTCTTTCTTAATTGTCTGTCATGTTCAATGTTATGTAAGTCCCCTTTGATACTCCAGCAGTATCATGTACAATGGGGAATAGGTGTATTCAATCGGGATGTCTTTAAATGGAGTTTCTTTCCAACTGTAAAAAACAAAATGCTCTCAATGGGCTTGGTTTCCTTCTGTAGTGAAGGGCTAAAAGTGATGGAATAAATTTCAATTTTTATCAAACAAAAGAAATTTAGGGTTTCATTTTTTTTATTCATTTTAATTATCAGGTTTACTAAAAATTTTTATTACTGATAAAGTTTATTAGTTAATTTGAACTTTTGCTATTTAAATGGAAAAAAATGGTTTTTCTATTTTAAAAATTTTTTTATAATCAAACACTTTTTCTTATAAAAATAGTTTTTATTTCATGTGGCTGACATAAATTGCTCGGCCTACCTGAAAATTGATGGGTTTCTACGACATTTATTAACTAAATTTTGCGATCAACCAAGATCGTAAATTGATCTTTTTTCCAAAAATGAGCAATTTCAGTACAGCGAGGACGGTAGCTAATCATGATAAAGTAAAGTCACTTTCGGAATCAGCACCATTAAATTAAAATGAAATGTGTTTTGTTTTTTGGCATCAAAATCGTGTTTACCTTGACCAAATGTAATCCATTTCAACTTGATTTTCAATGCATTTTGATAGTAAGACTATAAGCAATTCATTTACATTCTAAATAATAATGACTGGCTACTAGTCATGTTCGAGGACACCCGTCGGACAGACTGTTATGTTAAATATGCTTGCTTAACTCAATTTATTCCTAAATTTTATATACTGCAACTATTCTGAGAAGGTTACAGTTTCTGAGAGATATCGTATAACGTGACCTGATCAATATGTTTTTTTAACAATGCCAGTAGGCTGGAACGCACGGTCATCATGACCTATGTCTTTCTGACAACATAACCTCTGACATTATTTTTGAAATATTTTGAAGAATACTACATTCACTCACCAGGCAAATTCATCAAACTTGTAATGATTTTCAAATGTTTCCAATAAATGTTTTTTAAATGTGCGCGTGGACGAAAACCTTATTTCGTTCGCTATTAATCACGAGACACGGGTTCAATATCTCACCATAAATTGATATTTTTTTTTAATCACCCCAAGTTAAGGCGGAGTTGACTAGAACGCAAGGGGTTACAAAGGCTTGAGAAATATATATATAAATATATATTTAAGGAAAATATAGAAAGGACGGGGAACAAACTCATGGTGTCAGATGTCAATTGACATTACACTTGAATATTTGAAGATTATAGTCATCAAAAAGCAAGTAAGAGGAAGGGAGTTCTATAGACGGAAAGATGCAATGTATGTAATAGAAGAAGAAGAACGGTTACATTTAACAGTTTTGACAGTGAAATATTTGACCGAGATGCCAACCTGGTAGCACGTTTAAATTCATGTAGTCCGGGAACCAGCGAAAGTAACTCGTCGGAACAGTTGCCATGAAAATAATTGTAGAAAAGACAGAGGGAGCCACGCACGTCTGTGTGATAGCGACTGTAGACCAAGATGCCAAATCAAGGACCTATCATCTTATTGAATATTCGTCTCTGGATTTTATCGAGGAAAGAAGATGAATAGCAATAGAAGGGCACCAGACCATATATGAGAGCAATATTCCATGTAAAGACGGATTATTGATTTGAAGATTTGAAGGATGGACTCAGGCGAGAAAAAAAAACGACACAGAGAACCAATAAAATGAAGAGATTTAATATCGGAATGTAAATTTAAGCAATTCTTTATTATTGTATAATATAGACCTATTCTGTTAATAACACAGAAAAATTTCTTTTTAACCACTGATACATTTCTATTATAAAATCATTTCCAAAATATTTCTATAAACAAAACAAGAAAAATGGATTTTCTTTAAAAAATATACTAGACTAAAATTTGAAATCATATAAAAAAGTTTATTTTTTATTGAAAATTTTTATAAATTCTGTATATTTCAAGAAAAATCAAAATGTATATATGAAAAATTTATTACTGAAATATGTTTGATTTTTAACCTGTTCAAAAAAGAAAATGACCTATGTATAATGCAACCATTATTTTATATTAAAAATATGATATGATCATTCTATATTCCGAAAATCGATAAATGATCCTTTTATGATTAGGCCCATGGGGAAGAAATTCTTTTTGTCATGAAGGCCCGATATTTAAAAATATAACCATATATATACATAATATATATATATATATATATATATATATATGTGTTTTAAATATATGGATATAGATCCGACAGTATGAAGAAAAATATACAGAAAAAAACAAACAAAAATCTTAATATGCAATTATGTTGTATTAATGTTATATATAAAGTCAACGTCGGACGTTTCGGTCTATTTTAGACCATCTTCAGGATATTTTCATTAAATATAATTAACATTAGAACATATAAAATTTTCTGAATGAAAAAAAATTAAAACATAAGAGCAAACTAATCCAAACAGATAACTGAAATTTTTTTTTTTTTAAATTTTACGTGACGACGACATGATCATATTTAAACGGAACGCTGAATCTTATATTTGAATATTTTTTCCCATATTTTTTTAAATTAAAAAAAATCATATTTCAGGAAAAAAAAAATACAGTTTAAAATTTTTTTTAATTTTTTAATGATCATATTTAAATTATATTTCTATATTTTATTTATTTTTTCAAATATTTTTTTCCAATTCTTTATATATTAATATATATAAATATACAATAAATTAAAATTAATTCGTCGAATTTTTTTCATTCTTAACTTATTTGAATTTTAAATTTCAATTGTGAAATTTCTTTGACCTTTTTCCTTTTAAAATAATATTAATGAAATTTCCGGTTAATTTTAACATTTTTTATTCTAGTAAAGTGTCAATTTCCTCTTCTATTTTTTTTAAAAAGCATATTTTGCCTAAAATTAAATAAAATAAAAAAAACATGTTTTTTTTTTATTCACAATATATGTAAAATTTAATGTTTTTTCTTTATCTAAGATGAAAAAAAAATAATTTTTTTAAAATCCATTTAAGGACAAAAATTAAAAAGTTTAAGAACCACTTTTAAATTTTTGTCTTAAAAACGAAGAACAATAAAATTTCAAACGATTTCTTTTCCTGAATCATTATTATTATTGTCAAATTGTCATATAAATATTCTTTCTTCATTTCATTTTTAGAAAAATTTTTAATGGATCTTTATTA